TGGGCCTAGCGGGCCAGTTATTGGGCCGATCTGGGCTGGGCCGGGCCCGGACATGTCACTCATCCAGGCCAGCCATGTGGCGCTGGTGGGCTACTAATGGGCTCACGCCTACGAGCGCGGCTCATGGTGGACTATGCAATGCGGGTCCATGGACTGCAGGCACGGTCCATGGTGGACCGCGTCCACCCTTTCTCCCTCCTTTCTTCGGTCTACAGTGCACCGGGCGCACCGAGCAACGGGGCATGGCTCTCTCTTTCTCTGTCCTCTCCCTTGGCGGCTCTCTCACCGGTGGCGATCTCACCCATTCTCGTGCTGTGTTGGCTCGGCGGGGCTACTAGGGGACTCTATGGCTTCGTGGGCTCATGACGAGTTCACTAGTGGTCTAAAAGTGGTGCCTTGGTGACTAGCGCCCGACATAGGCCCCACGGTAGGCGACAGTAGTGTGGGGTCGACGGCGGGGTCCCATGGTGTGTCGGGAAGGCTCCCGCGAGCTTCGCTAGCTCCCTTGCACCCCGACGAATGTGACTATGACTCCAGACACGTCTGCGGGGGGCTCAATCGAGGCTGGCCACGGCAGTAGCGACACGGCGATGACGGCGGACGGTGGCGAGGTGGCTACAACTAGGTTTGAAGCCAAAGGTGGCTCCTTTCCTTCAATTGGGGTCATGGGGAATCCATTCGATGCACTAGCGGTGACCAAAAAGGGCACGATAGAGTCCGCACCGCAGTGAGGTGCGCGGCGGAGCTCCGGTGAGCTTATCGCTATGGCGAAACAAGGCAAGGCGGGGGCTTCTCGTTCAACTAGCTACACGGCAAGGTGCGCAGGGTCTTAGTGAGGCTCGATGGCCAACCCTCATCTTGCGAGGTGGCCGGATCATCCCCGGCACAGCGGTGGCATGGGTATACAGCGGTCCGATGAGGCAGACACGACTAGCAGGCCCCGGGGCTTCTCTTCTCCTCTCATCTAGCGCGTGACGTGTCCCTCGGTGAGGCGGAGCTTGCCGAGGCGCTCGTTCTACCTCTACCAGCCCAAATCCGCTAGAACGGAGCCTCACTATGGTGGGGTATGGCTGCGGCGAGCGCAAGTGCGTGCGGGTGTGCCGGCGCGGGCGTTCCCGAGCCAAGGTGGCTTGGCATCGCTGTGTTGCGGCCATTCAGCGTGCGCGCGTGTGTGTTGTGCTAAGTGACAGCGAAAGGTGACGCCTTTGGCTCTTCCAAGGTGGAAGAACACAGCGGTGGCCATGGCGTTCACTCCAGCAAGGGCAGAGCAGGGAATTTGAGGCTCACCGGTGGTGGCAGTAGTGCTAGGCTAGCGGCGTAGTGACAAGATGGGGCAGTGATGAGGCGGTGTAGTGCCGTGCCGAGTAGCTACACCGGTGAAGACGATCGGGGCATCATCTCTGGCTCTAGCAGCGGCTCCCTAGTGGCAGCAGCTCGGTCGTTCTTCTTCTCCTTCCCTCCTTCGTTCTCCTTCCTTTCTCTCGGTCTCGGCATGTAGTTGGTGAAGCCACTAGTGGCGGCGGGGCGAGAGTGAGGCGCTAGGGCACTGGGGGTGCCCTCTTATAGGGAGGCCACGGCCATGGCGAGCGGTGGATGGAGGCGAAGGGGGTACGTGGAGGGCGATCAAGGTGAAAGTGCAATCAAGCTCTAATTGTGGGTTTTGGTGATAATGACCACGCAATTAGAGGACTAATGAGATTTATCGAGATGACAAGTAGGGAATATATAATCGAGGATGTTATACGAAATGGAGGTGCCCCCAATTACAAATGTCGATGGCTTCAAACTCAAAGGATGTTTAAATTCTTTTATATTTTGAATTTGAGTATAGAAAAAGCCGTACTATAAAGGGGGACACAATGCTTGAGCTAACATGTGCTACCAAGTGCTCTATCTTACACCTACATCCTCAGTTACTCAGCCAAGATAGCCAGCACTTCACTCTTATCCTTGCTGTCTTGCCTTGGGCGGTAGTGCCGCACCTGGAGAGAGGCACTATCGTTGAGCGGCATTGCCACGACTTAAGTGACCGTTGGGGGTTGGGGGGTATTTATACCTTTCCCCTTCCTCTCCAATGTCACTCTCTTTCTTTTGAACCGTTCAGTTCGCCCAAGAACATAAAAGTGCTCATCTGTCTCTCCTTCATTGGTGACCTTGAGCTCCCAAGCTTCTCCATTGATTTCCCCATCAATCCTTGAGAGAAAAAGGTGCCAAACTCGATTAGAGAGCAGATCCACTTATTTCTAAAGCCTAAAGAGCACTTGGTTCATGTTTTGGCTGGCAGTTGTGTTTGTTACTCTTGGAGCTTCGCTCCTAACCGGCTAGAGCATAGCCTGTGGAGCTTGCCAACTTGTGTGGTAGCCCCGGGAGGTTTGTAATAATCTCTTGCAGCTAGTAAACTCATCCCTCATCTCAAAAGGTAACTCCCTTGACTTGAGAATGAGGAAGGGTTGCAAAGCCCTAGCCTTAGTGGCAACCTCAATAACATGGACTTAGGCAAGCCTTGGTAGCGAGTTGAACCATAGGATAAATCATTGTGTCACCTTGTACTTGATTTACTTCACTTGCATTTCACATTGTTGTTGAGGTAGATTCTAGGGTTTATGGGCGATCTACTTGTGTGTGGAGTTCCTACCACTTCTAGCTCTCGATCTGTGGACCTCATACCTGCAGGAAGCTAAGGAATTTCTCTAATCTAAGTTTTCATTCACTGATTTTGAGCTATGACTTAAAGTTATCTACAGGTGCGGTAGTGCCGCTGTTATAGCCCGGCAGTGCCGCGAGGTCAGAGCGACAGTGTCGCAGGTGAAATTTTACATCTGCTTGAGTTTTGTTTTAATAGGCCTATTCACCCCCTGTAGGCTAACCAGAGATCCTACACAAGGCGCCTGGCTAGGGTTTTGGGGGCGCGCGGGGTGGTTGCGCGCCTACTGGTGCTCTTAATTTTGAATCCCTGGCGGTCAAGGTGAGGACGGCGGTGTCAGGGAGGGCATGGGTCTGTGGCGACATCACGCGCGTCATGACACTGGCTGGGGAAGACAGGGCGTGTCGGGCTGCAGAGTGGCGCGCATCCGTGCGTTGGCACGCAATGGCTAGGGGCGCGGACGGCTAGGACGTATGGGGGACCGCGAGATTCCCCTGGTCGCTGGTGCTCTGCTTTTCCAAAAGCAAAGGAGGGGCATCGGGTTGGGGATGACAGGGTCCCACCCTTCAGCGACAGGGGGAAGGTGACGATGGCCGCGTGTTGCGACGCGGGGCACGGACGTGGGCCGCTGCTGGGCCGACTCGGTGCTTCGCCGACGTGCGCGGGGGTAGGGCGGCGTCGTGGGCCGCTGTGGCCACGCGGCTGGGCCGTAGCGGTGTAGGAGCACGCAGGTTGCTAGTGAGGAGCTAGGCCGCAGCGCGCTGGCTAGTGGCGGGCTGGCTGTTGCTGCTGGGCTGCTTTCCCTTTTCTATTTCCTTCCCCTTTTCTAAACCTTTTTCTATTTCCTATTTCCATTCTATGCTATACCTTGGGATCCTATGCATGTATACATGTGTTGCCAAGCATGTACACATCCTTATGGGGTCCACTAGGGGTCAACTATGGTATTAGGGTCAATGCCAAGGGTTGGCAACACACACACAACAAGTTTGTTAAAAGATTCAATTGATTTTATTACATCATATAAAATCAAGAAAATAGGACTCACAAGTTGTTTAATATGCAAATGCTCAACCATGCTATCTTGGGTTCTACTTGTGTAATTACAAGGGTGGTTTCCTAGTATGCACACTCACAATGCATGGGTTTTATTAGAAAATTTTTTAAGTTTAGATTTTTAGTTATTGAAAAACCTGGGTTGTTACAGCTACCCAAGACGCAACCGATTCAAAATCATCACCCATAAATTTGACTATGACATGTGGGTACCATGTGTAAGAATGGATTTAAGGATGAGTTTTGAGTTTAAGGATGAGTTTTGAGTAATCTGTTGCAGTATATAGTAAATTTGCTTTTGAAAGATCTCTTATAGCTGATTATAGGGGAGAGAAATAGAATATCTGGTGGAGTTGCTCTTCGTATCCTCTTCTATAAAAGAATACAACTATGAGAATTGTGTAAATCACATTAGCTTAATTTTGATCGAATTTAATGAGAATATAATTAACTTTTATGTTACCAACTATATTTATTATGAAAAAATATTTTATTGTGCTTCTCTTGTATCATAATTTTAGTAATTATTTATTAAGTTTAATTAAATTTTAAATTATTTGACTTCTCAAAAAATGAATAATATTATATTATATCTTTTTGTGGTAGAAGATATTCCCTCCGTCCTAAATTATAAGCCATTCTAAGAATCTTGGAGAGTCAAAGTATTTCAAGTTTGATCTAATTTATATGATAAGATAATAACATTTATGATACCAACTAAGTATTATTAGGTTCTTTATTAATTATATTTTTATAGTATATCTATTTGATGTCATACATCTTTGTAAATATTTCTATAATTTTGATCAAACTTGAGATGCTTTGACTCTCCAAGATTTTTAAATGATTTATAATTTGGAATGGAGGGAGTAGTACTTTGTCCTTAAAAAAGAATGCACTTCTAAAATAGTGCTAAGTTCATGTATACCAAGTTTAACCAAACTTATATAAATTTTATTTTATTAATTTATTAATATTCATCATACTGAATTGGTACCATTAATTCATCACGAAATATATTTTTATAATATACTTATTTAGCTATTTGATTAAAAATGTATCTAGAACTGTATTTTTCTTTTGGAAAGACGTAGTATTTGTCAAGAAAAAATAACTGTTTTACCCCACACGCAGAGTTGCTTTGAGGAATAAATTTTGTAGCAACAGTAGTTCCCACTTGCCACCAACTAATCATAAATAAATGCTCTCCAGCGGCACAATTCCTCTTCCCCAAATGTGAGTACAGTGCGCCCTCGTTTCTCACACACACGCATCAGTCCTCCTTCACCGGCCAGTGTCCATGGCGGCGCCATCCCTTCCAGGCTTCCCCCTTCGTCTCCGGCAACAGGTAAGCTCCCCAAACCCTACGCGCGCTGCATTCCTCTCTGGCGCGGCAGATCCGCTCACCTCCGGCTCCTCCCTTTTCTCAGCGAAGCGACATGGATTGCCCCAAGACCGAGAGTGGCGAGGTCGCGGTGGCCTGCCCGCCCGACGACTCCCTCGTGGAGATCTTCTCGCGCCTCCCCGCCAAGCCTCTCTTCCTATGCAAGTGCGTCTCCAAAAATTGGTGCGGCCTCATCGCCGACCGCCTCCGCTGCCGGAAGTTCCCCAAACCCTAGAAGGTTTTTTCGCCGGCGACGGAGTTGAGAGCTACGGTGGTTTCATCTGCCCGGAGAGGCCGGTGCTTCTCGTCGACCCTTCCTTCTCCTTCCTGACAAAGTTGCCAGAGATTAAGAAGATCGTCCTCTTGGATTCCTGCAACGGGCTCGTCCTCTTTGGGCACAGGCGGGTTTCAGACAAGAACGTGGGTCCAGTGTCAAATCTGCATCGAGTCCCATTTTTGCAAATCTCCCCAAGCATAGCTCGCTGGGCTATATTGTGTGCAACCCCGCCACCGAGCAGTGGGTGTCCGTGCCCAGCTCCGACTGGACTCCATTTCCATTCATTAACAGTGACGATGAACTGAACCAAGATGATGATCCGGACACCTATTTGATTTTTGACCCGGCTATCTCTCCACACTTTCAGTTGATCCAGTTTCAGTTTAAGTTAGGAACTAAGTCTGTCCTGCCAGAGGTGCACAGCTTCTCTTCTGTAACTGGGGCATGGAGGCTCGAACTCAAACTCAAACGTGTACCGGGCCTGCCACAGGGCATGAAGGTGGACAACAGGTGCCCTTGGGGCGGCGTGCCCCTTTAAAGGCATGCTGCACGTGCGTGCCCACCATCCCTACCCCCCTTCTGAAAACCTGAATATGATACTTGCAGTTGGTGGGGAAGGGAGGCCATTTAGGACCCTGCAAATGGCGTACCCAGTGCAGAGAGCTCCCGCTCTTTGCGGGGTCTGGGGAAGGGTGTCAGTGGCAAGCCTTACCCTTGCCTGTGCAATGTGAGGAGACCGCGACTCGAACTCGGGACCTTCCGGTCACAGGCGGTAAGACTCTACCGCTTGCACCAGGCTCGCCCTTCATTTAGGACCCTGCACTGGCCACAAAATGATCGTGGTGTTCTTGTTTTTGTTGGTCAATCCCAAGGGCACCTACATTGCCTGAGTGGATGTATGGGAAACAGTTCCCAGATGACTGAACTGTCCATTTGGGTTCTTGAGGACTACAATGCAGAAAAATGGGTTCTCAGGGACAATGTGAGCTTCTCCCAGCTGTTTGGAAGAATGAGCGGCCGTTTCCACTTAGACTGGAATGTGGTTGCCATTCATCCAGATCGTAGTTTGGTCATCTTTGCTGAGTATTGGAATTGTAAGCTGATATCATATGACATGGATAAGAAGGAAGTGCATTCTCTCTGAAGTCTACATGGCTCCCGTTGGCATATTATCCCATATATTCCTTATTTTGCAGAGTCAGCGGTGCTTGCTAAGAAGCACTGAAATTGTTGCTTATGGGATACTCGATGGGATGTCTAACATGAATTAATCTTCCAAGAATGGAGAACTAGCAGCTTGTGTAGATCTACTAGAACTAGGTGATGCATTCTGCTGGTTGTTTATGTATCCCTTCTAATGCTTTAGGTTCAGTTAACACTGCAAACAAATTGATGCAAGCCAGACTTTAGGTGTGCTAGCTATATAAATGAATGAATGTTGTTTCCTGACTTGTGATGGTTTCTGTTGAAGTTGAAATGTTCTTTTCCCATGTTCGCAGAATTATGATCAACTTATATGCTTGGATCTGTGTTTATGTCTTACTGGCAAGCGACTAGTGATAATGGATTCTGCTTCCTTGGTCCTTTCGCTTTTTATTTATTCTAAGGGTGGCAGAAAGATGGGTTCTGAGGGACAATGTGAGCTTCTCCTGGCTCTTTGGAAGAAAGAATGGCCGTTACCGTTTTGATTGGGATGTGGTCACGATTCATCCATAGCTGTGCCAGGTAATTTACAAATAAATTGTGTACAACTGTACAAATTAGCTGTGTATACTCTGCAATATGAGTGTATGATACTCAAGTGCTTCACCAGAAGCTCGGGTGCCAAAAGATTCAACCCTTTTCTAAAAAGCTCCTAATGTTGGATATTTTTCTTCAGATTAAGATGTAGATTAGAGCCTATGCAACCTGCAGGCAAAATACTGAACGTTCAGAAAACAAAAGAGAAATGAACTCCCATTTCATGTGGTGATGAAATGATGTTGGAGACAGAATGTTGTGTTAGCCATGGAACATATCACAGAAGGTATTAAGATCATGGTGCATGGCTCAAGTTTGTACTGTGGATGCAGAGTTGCGCTTAGGTGGTCAGACTGCCTATAGTTTGACAAATTCAAAAGTTTACAATTTATCTGGTCAGGACAATAAGAACTTTGAAGGACTAATGAGATGAACAAGCCCAAACGATATAGAAATTGATATTGTGTGATTGATCCTGAATGCTATTCTTTTTGAATGAGATACTTATGACATTTGATTTCTGATCCGTTGAGCCATATACTTTGTTCAGAACTAGTTAAGGTCCTGCTTCTATAGGGGATTTGTGTTATCAATGATTTAATTCAAACCTGAACTGAACTCTAAAATTTTCCCTTGCCAAAATAGGAGGACTATTTTGAAATTTTGGAGGAATCCCTCATCTAATCCAGAGAGTGGGATTCTTCTTACAGAAAACAAATACACTGAAGGCATGTGAAAAATTTGAACCTCTAGCTATCACATTTATCCTATTTGCTCCGTAGCTGATGTTTATTCACTATGCTGGTGGGGAATAACTGGAACCTTGTAATTGGAGACTTATGGCCAGAAGCAGAACTTGCTTGTAGATGCTAATTACTTGCTTTCAGCATTGCTGTAGAAAACGCCTGCTGAAAATTAATTTTCTTTGTTACAACAATCTATAGCTGAGCCAGGTAATTAAATAATAAATTGGGTACAACTGTACAAGTTAGCTCTGTGTATAATGTATAAATTGGGTACACCAGTACAAATTAACTCTGTGTATACTGTATAATCTGTAGAGTTGAGCTTATGTTTGTATTGAAAGAATCCTTGCATGGCTTATGTTTGTACTGAAAGAATCTTTGTCCGCAGAGTTGAGCTTTGGACGTCAAACTTCCTATAGTTTGACAAATCCTAAAATTTAGAATTATTTGGTCGTCTTATGGAAAAGAATTAGCCATATGGCGACTAGAACTTTGGAAGGACTAATGAGATCAGCCAGCCCAAAAGGATAGAGGAATCGATATTGTGTGATTGATCTTGAATGCTTTTCTTCTTGAATGAGATACTTATGTCATCTGATTTCTGATCTGTTGAGCCATACACCTGTGATTTTCTTTTCACGTTTCATAATATTACCCAATCTGCCTGCAACTTAGGCGCAACCTAACTGGCAATACTCTGAATAACTTCATCCCTTGAAATATGATAAAAAGTGTTCAGGCTGAACTGACTGTCCACATGCAGGTGTGGGCTCCATTTTTGCAATCTCAGATTGATTCTGATTACCGTTGCTACGATGCACCTTTTCACCTTGCCTGCTCTACCTTTTCTTCTCGTAAAGACTGATTTGCACACTGGGGTCAATAGTGGTGAATGTTGAGTGTTCCAAATTAGAAAGAGCAAACATGATTGTAATATGCTTCGATTCTATCCCACAACTGACATCCTTAACTGGACCAACTTAGAATGCGATCTGATCTCCAGCAACTCAACGCTTCCCCGAATGTGAGTGGCGTTTCCTCAGGTTCCTTCGCGAACCACATTGTCTCCGGCTCCTTCCTTGGCTCAGCGACAGTATCTCTTCTCTTCTGATACATTAGGTTTGACTGACACTGCAAGCCTGTTGAGTGTTGACATATGCATGGAAGCTAGCTTTAGTTATGCTAGTTATCTAAATGAATGATGCTGGCCAACTTATGATGATCTGTGTTGATGTTATATTTTCAAATGCTTTTTTTTGGTGTTCACAGTCACAATCTTCTATGCATGGATATTTTTTTCCGTATAGACCTTACTAGCGAGTAATCACTATTTACTCACAAGGAATGAGTTTCTTCTTTCATTTTCCCTGTTTATTTTTAGTCTGAATGAACGCATGTATCTTCCATATGATGCAATAATGCAAATGATGTTTGATTGGGAAGTTTTATACTGAAAGCTATGTTACATTAACTTGTTCAGATTTAGTTAAGGTCCTGCTTCGATAGGTGTTTTGTATTTTCGAGGATTTTATTGAAATATGAACTAAAATCTAAAAACTTCCCTTGTCAAATTGTGAGAAGCAAATTCTGGAATTTTGGAGGAATCCTTCACCAAATCCAGAGAGTGGGATTCTCTTAACAGGAAACAGAGTGATTTAATGTACAGTTCGTTCTGTGCAGCTCGGTCTCTTCTGATGCCTTGTGTACACGTTACTATACTGGTGGCATGGGAAAAATTTATACCTGTAGGATGTTGCGGTCACATTTCTCTGTTTTGCTCCCTAGCTGATGTTTTTCACTATGCTGCTGGGGAACAACTGGTTCATTGTAATTGGAGACTTCCAGCCAGAAACATAACTTGCTTGTAGACGCTGATTACTTGCTTTTAGCAGACAATTATTGTTCTTTGTTACAAAATCTATAGCTGAGCCAGGTACTTCCAAAAAAAAATGTACAACTGTACATATTAGCTATGTCTACACTCTGCAGTATGATACTTGTAAATTTTGAAGGTGCTTCACCAGAAACTCTAGCACCAAAAGTTTTTACTCTTTTTTTTTCTGTTGGATATTCTCCAAATTAAGCTGTAGATTAGAGCCTTGGCAACCTGGAGGCAGAATGCTGAAAGTACAGGAAACAAGTACAGAAATGAAACCCCATTTCATACGTTGTTGAGATGTTGGAGACTGAATGTCTGTGTCAGCTATGGAGCAAATACAGAAGTCAGAAGGTATCACCATCTTATTGCATGGCTCTAATCTTTTGGTTATGAGCCCGTTATGTGCATGCAATTGAGATAGGATGCCAAACTGCTCATAGTTTGACAAATTCCAATATTTAATTATCCGGTCGCCTTAGAGCATCACCAAGAGACTCTCTATATTTTTCGTAAATGCTAGGAATAGAGATTTTGGTGAAAAACTACCCTCCAACAGCTTCTCTACATAGTCATCCAAATATAGCCATCTTCTATTCTGGATTTTTCGCTAGCCAAAAATCGAAGACGAGAATGGCTCTCTAGAGTACGCATGAGATATAGAAAAGCTGTTGGAGAGTGAAAATATATAGAAAGCGATTTTTATGCAAATGACTTTCCAAATCATGATTTAGATAGTGAGATTTAGAAAGGCGCTTAGAAATGCTCTTACGAGGAAAAAAAATAGTCATATGAAGATGAGAACTTTGGAACAACCAATTGGATCAGAAGGAACCTCAACGGAACAACCAATGCTATTCTTTGTGAACGGAACTTATCGCATCTGATTTCTGATCTCTTGAGCTATACTAACTGTGGATACTTTGGGGGCACGTTTCTTAATTCTTTATGAGGTATTTAGGCAATTTAAGCAACCTGACACTTTGATTATCTTTTTTTATAACTATTTGCAGCCTGTTTGTTTGGCTGTGGCTTGTCGTAAATGATCGTAAATTTTCAGCCGGAACAGTATTTTTCTCTCACACAAACCAGCCAACAGTACTTCTTCACGAACCAGCAACGATACGAACCAGCCAACCGAACAGGCTGTTGATTATCTTCGGAGGACTCCGCTTGTCAAAATGCCGGTGGGGGCTCAGTTGTGCAATCCAGATTGACTGATTATCTTTGCTACGTGCACTTTTTCACATTTCCTGCTGATCGTTTTTCTTGTCATAATGATCACTATGGGCACTGGGTCAATACTCAGGGCCTGTTCGGTAGGGCTCCATCTCGGCTCCGGCTACAGGTCCCCCGGAGGAGTTTTACCAAACGTTTTATAGGAGAATTTGTTTTTCAGTGAAAATCGGAAGAGTCGAAGCCGTTTTGAAGAAGCTAAAGCGGCTTCGGCTCCTTTGGAGGAACCCATGGATGAGCCATACCAAACACCCCCTCAATCCCTCTTTTCAAAATAACTATGGTTCTCGTTTTTCGAAAAGTTAAACATTTTAACTTTGATAAATATATAAAAACATTAATATTTATGAGGCTGGTTCCGTGGTTGGAAAGTACTACTAGTACTTCTAGGCACTTCCTATTTTTATTTTGATAGACAATTAATTTAAGAAAGAAAATTAGAAAATTAAATTAATGGAGAGAAGGGTAGAGTAGTAATTGGAGGAGCTTTGACCGCACACGTCCACGGTGGCCGGGTCGAGCACGCTGACGACGCGGAGCTCTAGG